ACAGCTAAGCGAATAATCGCTTTAGGTCAGGAACAGAGACTTCAACTCCAGAAGGGCTAATTATCCTTTATTGCTCAAAATAGGAGTTAACAGATGGCCCCTTTCCCAGGGCGTACAACAAAGCCTCCACTTGGGCTTGAACTCAAAATAATAAGAAATAAGACTTAACGAAAGAGATATAACCGAAGCTATCAAAATTCTGAGTAGATGACCCCTAAATATCGAATAAGCTAGCGAAGCTATCAAGGGCCTGTAATATGGCTGAGCACAGTAACAGCTTAGAGAGACGTAGCCAAAAGGCGAAAGCGCGCTAGTCAGAAACTCTGAGGCTCTCTCTCGAACTCAGTGGAACTTCAACTTAAATACTACTCTTACTCATTTGCATTAACACGATTCTAAAAACACATTCTGGTAGGAAATTGTAAGCTGAAATTAGGATGGAAAGAAAAGTAGCCTTAACTAAGAATAACCGTTAAAAATTTAGGGTAAATCTCACAGATCCACTACTAATTTCCAGTAATGGATCCACTAACTAATGTCCAGTAATTTATCCATTACTAATTTCCAGTTATGGATCCACTACTAATTTTCAGTAATCTACTAACTAATGTCGAGTACCGTATTCACCACTAATTTCCAGTCATGGATCCCCTAAAAGCTTCCAGTAATGGATCCACTAACTAATTTCCAGTATGTGTCCATTACTGATTTCCAGTAATGGATCCACTACTAATGTCCAGTAATGGATCCACTAACTAATGTCCAGTAATCTATCCACTACTAATTTCCAGGAATAGATCCACTACTAATTTCCAGGAATAGATCCACTACTAATGTCCAGAAATGTATCCACTAATAATTTTCAGTAATGGGTACACTAACTAATGTCCAGTACCGTATCCATTACTAATTTCCAGTAATGGATCCACTACTAATGTCCAATAATGAGCCAATAATGGTAGATATGGTGATTCACACGCACAACTCTTTGTTCTTAATCATCAGTTGGGGAATTAAATAAAATCTTTTCTTGAACCCTCGCAGAAGACAACTTTTCGCTACGCTCCAAAACAAAGGGTGATTCTTTTGCATCACTTTCACAACTTCAAATTGCGATAAATTTCCTGCTTCATCTTCTTCAGAAATTATTCATTTTTGCTATGTTAAGAAATAAATCTCAAGGAATTTAATGTTCCTGAAAAATATTTTATTTTCCGGGTATAAAACGGCAAAGAAGAGTTATGGGAATCCCGGGGAAAAAAAAATCTTACTCGTAACCGATCGGTTCATTTCCTCATATCCGTCGAAATCTCGAAAAGTTCAAATGTGTTGTCATAATACTTCCTAGCTGGAAATGCTAAAGAAACCTATTTCCAGAGAGGTGAGCTCGAAGAAATATTTTGCAATTTTACTAACTATATATTTAATGTTAGTAATATATCTCTAATGCTTTTTTTAAGAGCTAAAAGTCTTCGAGACTCAAAGAGAGATATTTCTCAGAAAGTAATTTAGCAGTTTCATAAATATATTTTTTACAGCAAGAAATGTCTCGTAATATACCATGTGTATTACTTTATACATAGGCCTGTGTAGTAGCTGTACAATATTAATGCTATAATTAGTGTGTTGCAGAATTTTTGGAAATTCATGAAACTGAAACTTTGGTCAGTTATGATCTTATTTGGTTAGAAAACTAGAACTTTCTAATAAAATGTTTTTGCAGTGCTGACTAATGGCAGTTATATGTATCTGATGAACTCATTTAAATTTTTCAAGATTGTATTTTTCTGTCCTGTAATTAGTTTTTTTTTTTTTTTTTTTTAATTTATTTATTTTTTCTTTTTTTTTTTAAATAGGAACTTCAAGGTTATCATCCGTTGCCCGTTGTGACTCGTAACCATAGAACAACCACGTCGGGAAAAAGGCGACTCGCTTAACTCTTTAAGTCCCCCCCCCACACTTTATTTACGTGTAGTGTGTTTCACTTCATGAAAAAGACGCGAAATCAATTCTGACTTGAAGAGCAGTCTCTAATGGCGTAGAGGAAATAACGGCTGCCCGTTGATGACGACACGAGTTATGACAGAAAGAGTTTGCGAAAGAGAGAAAGGCTCGCAAATTATGACATAGTATGAATGTAAGAAATTGTGAATAAATTGTAAAAAAATTAAATTATGAGTGAAAAATATACCAAAAAAAAATCTGAAAGCTTTCAAATTTTATATTACTCTCGAAGCGGCCCCTTTTTTTTAACGTTTTGTGCGTCGCCTTTATTTATTAAATATCATATTCTTTGCACTTAAACCATAAAATTCATTTCAACAGCAATATCATAAAATGATTTTAAATGAGCGTATCTTTAGAATTTCAGATACACAGTCTCGCGCGCTGGAGATAAAAATGTTACCATTGCTCACATTGAAGTCGTTCAGTTTCTTAATGAAAACTTTCTTAATTTCCTTACCATTTTTCTTATGTAACGTTTATGTGTATTCGCAAATTCTCATTTTTTTAACGTAAAATCTAAATACAGGATTTTTCCATGTTCAGATCGCCCTCACGCTGCGTGAAACCCCATTTCATCATAAGCATAGCAGTATATCGTCTGCTCATCAGTTGGTTCCAGCTTAGTTGAGTTACTAAGCTTAGTGATTTTTTGACAGAGCGAATGAAAGTTCAGATAAACTTTACCTTCGAATATTTATTATATCTTACTGTAAACTAATAAGCTACATTTACAGATTTTCCGGTGTTATTCATGTTGTTTTTTAATGATAATGAAAATAATTTAAACTAAGACTTGAAAACAACTTTACTACATTCGCCGGCCATACGAAATGGCATCAGAGACCAAAGTCAAGTAGCTGTATTAGTTCTAATATTAGAATTAATGCATAAATCTTGCCGATCCTAAAATGCATAAACTTTTACGCAAAATCATTTTCTAATAAGGAAAAAGTAAACAAATTAATCGTTAAGCGCCCGTACTAACACAGCTGCATATTTAAGAATTTTTTTGAGGTTGTTTGCAGTTGCAGATTCAAGTATTTGGAATTAATAACATAAACTGATACGATCTAAGGGAAATTGATTACTCTGCGTTGACAAGCTGTGTTTTCTTCTTTTACCTTGGCTAAATGCCAAACGATATTTACTTATTTCAAATCCACTGCTCAAGTGCTCGAATAAGAGATGCATTTATATTCGAATTTCGCTGTTTCATTTTTATTTATTATTGTATTATTTGATGCTTACTTTCGCTTCGTTTTAATTATCTACTCATGCCTTACGGTTACGGTTTTTAGGTAGTAGTTTAGCAGTTGTATTAGAATTCTGATTTTATTTTTTACTTACTTTCATTGAATAAATTTGTTCTCTTCATTAAGAATTTCTGAAAAGTTCTCTTTAGAATATTTCCTTCAAAAAGCGAAAAAGAAAAAATGGAAAAATTATATATAAATTGTTAGTTTCATTCTTTATTTTGAAATTTTCTTTGTTAATTTTAATATCTCAAGATTCATACTGACTCCCAACATTTGTGTTTTGCTAGCATTAAGAACAGTAGAATAAAATATGAAAAAAAAATTATAGCTCAGCACATGTAAGTAAAACTGGTTTCGGATATATTTGATTATGGATATATTTAGGCACATTATAGCTATCTGCCTAAAAACGGGGATGCCTTCGTAGAGGACGTTTTAAGGAAAATTCGCTCGTACTCAAGACAAAGTTATTCGAATATGCACGAATATCCCAAGCAGCATTGAAATATTCAGAGCACGTTTAGAAAGCGTGTTGTTCGTTCTATGATAAAGTTATATCCATTTAGAACGTACTACAGGACGTGCTAAAGTTGTGTGTGTTACAATCGTGCTCTTAGAACATACATTAAGACGTATAATACAAGTACATTTCCAAACGCTTTCAGCATGCACTGTAAAGTACACATTGCACACATACACACACACACACACACACCAAAAAAAAAAAAAATCGAACAATTTTGCACCTTTGTTCTATTCGGCCGAACGTTCTTCATGTGTCGAAAACGCGACTTAGGATATATAATAGATTTATATATAGCATTGTTCTAACATAGGTATTTTGGCACAAAATTGGACTTTTTCTGAAATGACATAACGCTATTTACACACCATTTTTTTTCCCGCATTTGGATTCTAAGATTCAAATTATGCCTAAATATTAATTTTTTAAAAATTTGGTGCTAAACTTAACGAGAAATTTGAAAATTTATCTTGGCTCCTTTTTCTCTGCGCCAAGAATAATTCATTTGACGAAATTCTTAATTTATATTAATCTATTTTCCTTTCCCCTTTTTCATTGTATACGAGCGGAAAAATGGGTGCATCGTTACTACTTCCAAATAATTTTAACAGACTGCTTAAAGCAGATTCATCGTTATTATCGCTTATAACAAATGTGGCAAATTTCGAAACGCGCCCAAATGCAAGTTCACGTATGTCTGTGGAATTTCTGAATAAAATAACTTGGAATTTGTTTGCGGGTATGCCTAGAAATAAAGCTAGTTTAAGGTGATGGTAAAACATTTATAGGTTAAAATTCAAAAATGTTTTCGACAAAATTGTAAAAATTATTAAAAAATACGAAATATATGAAAATATATTTAAATGTATGATTGTTATAAAAAATGATGTGTCGAATAATGATCCATTTCCTTATTTATTTATTATTTATCTTTTTAACGAAAACCAGCTTGACACAGGTTATTCAAAATAGCTTCGCCCTAATTAGTTCACAAAACAGAGATCTACGATTTCTGTTCGCAGATCGTTAACGTATATTAATCACATACATGACACGCTATGAAACCTTTTACTGCATTCGCCATGCTCTATTGCAACTGAAAGGCAGCTGCACCCAATTTAGCTAGACTTTTTGTTTTCTTTAATATATCTTTTATAATGATTTCTCATTGAACTAATGTTGGCACTGGCACTTAGCATCTCCTCTCCTTTCAGATATATCCAACCACCTGGTGAAAAGTTCCACAGCCTCGAACCAGATGGCAGCATTGGCGAAACTGGTTGCCACCTCCCCTTTTCTCTCTCTGGATGTTTTCTCTTCCACGTGCCTCAACTGGCGACCAGAGATCTGACTTCACAAAGTGGATGGCGGCGGGCTTCGGCGCCCCATTCTGCTGCAGTTCCTCTCCTCTGCTGAAATGTTTCGTTCCACGGCGAGGAAGAATTCAATCTTCGATGATATGTTTTTTTGGCTGTGTTCCGTGCGACTGCTATCGCTCTCTCTTTGCTTCGATTCAACCGGATAACTGCAGACCGGTTCTTTGAGCTGTGCGAAACGAGTTAACCATGTCTCGGATCTGAGTTTTTATTTTGTGTGTGCGATCCTTTGCAAGAGAAATCCCACCGTTATCCACAATTGTTACTTCTTTATTTCTCAAGGATGTGAAAAATTGTTGTTAACAGCTTGTTGTGCATACGTGATAAGTGATGGCATATCTAACAGCAAAAATGTGCTTAATTGATCTGATGTGCGATTTTTTCTGTACCTTAAACCGCGTCCTCATTAGCTCTTCGTAACCTGTGGCGATGCAGTTTTGTGGATTATCAATACCAAGTATCGGATTGCTCCAGTCATATATATCCGGATATTGCTGTATATTTTAGACCACTGTATTATTCGGTGATGGATACCAATCGTGTGTCATTGTTGTCACTCAAGTTACCAGTGGTGGCGTTCTAGTTGGTAACAACAGGTTGGTGATGATATACAGTGCAGCTTTAATTTGGAAATCTTTGCAATATCCTGTTTCTATATTCGTCTCAGAAAAGGGGTGATCCGAGGTGTCTGCTTCGTTTCCTAGAAAACGGATTTCCAAAGCTAGTTTATTGTGGTTTTTGCCGCGCTCGAATCATCACACCTGTACAGCTTGGCACAGACCAAACGCCCTCATGGATGTGGAGGTAGTGAAGTACCTGTCTGAACTCAACCAGAAAATTAGGAAAGGGTGTACCGCCCATATAACCAGAACGGGAAGGTTGTATTATATGAAGTAAGTGCTAGTTTTTATCCTTTCTAATTTTATCCTCTTCTGTACATAATTATAATTTTTTATTTGGGAGCTTAAAATCGTGGTTGATACGAAGACAGTTGGGAAGTGGAAGAATACGGAATAATGCTCGTTAGAATTAAGAGAATACTGCTAACAAATAATTCAATGTTTACAACGAAAAGAATTCTTTTAAAATAAAGGTAGAAATTACAATTAAAAAATTACAATTTGAAATACACGTTTAATTTTGCGATTTTACTTAATTTCAATCACGCGCCCTTCCCGCATGAAGGTCAGCTAATGAAATATAAAATGTGCATGTTAATTCCAAGAAATATGAAGCCTCCCCCCAAAAAAAAATCGATGATTATTTTTTAATTGCGCATTTTTGTAATTTTATACTTTTGCGTAAATTTATATTTTATTACAAACGCTTTATTGGAAAAAAAGATTATTAATTAATGTATTCTTAACCTAAGACGTGAAATCTCGGCTGTTCATTTAGTATTATTTCATCCAAATTTAGTTCCAACTCGCTTCTAGCGATCCTTAACACCGAACTGCTTTCCCTTCTTCAGGTCGGGATTAATTGCTTATTTTAGTGCTGTAGAGATAAAGGGGAGGGGGCCCTCACCAGTGCCGGAGCGATAAAAGTCGCTGAGCACTGGTAGTTCAGTCTGGGTACGAATCCTGGCGAACGGGCTGTCTGCATGGTCGTTTAAGCCCATGTGTAACGTGTATACGAGTCAGTTTCTCCTAGAAAGTCCTCCACAGAGGCCTGTATGTGTGTTTTTCATTATGGCAAAGCGCTCGAGGGATGCCTACGTGGACTTACTAAGGAAAACTGACTCGTATACACATTATACATGCGGGAAACCATGGAAACGTCCATGCAGCCAGCTCGTTCGCAGGATTCGAACTACCAGTGTTTAGCGACTGTAACCATTTGGCCGCTAATAAACCCCTCCACTCATCCCTCCGCTTAGGCTTATAGTCCTCGAGTGCTTTGTCGTAATTAAATAAATAAATAAGATGCAGAGAGAGTATGGTTGGATTATTGACGAATTGCAGTTTCGCCAAATACGCCGTTTCATTTTTAAATAAAAATTTACGGGTGAATTCTTTTTCCTTAACTCTGTTTTTTTTTTCTTTTACTAACGGTTTTCATTTGTCATTGTTTAATTCCTGAATTATTCCAACTGCTTAAACATGACAGAACTATTTTCTTACGGCGGATGCATATGCTCAGCGTAGATTGATCGCTAATGTTGTCATGCGTAAATATGCGCATATACACTGTAACAACAGATGCACACTTCGCTAGTTAGCACTCAGAATATGGTAGGAACGAGGTGAAAATGTCGTTGCACAGGATTTCGTAACGCCCCGAATTAAGCAATTAAAAGATCCGCGTTTGGATCGCGGGCCGGATTTTGCCTGCGCTTCATATGTAAGATGATTGCCTAAATGAATTCTGTACCATTCTATGTATATTTTATTTTCAGAAATACTCTCCTTTTCACTAATGGTTGCCATGACAGTTTTTATTGCGTTTATAATGAAAATACGCATAATTTTGCTACGATTGTTCCAGTGAGTTAGGTTCAGTTCTTAATATGACACATCTGAAAGAAACATTATTAATTATGGGAAAACTCTCGCTCCATTTCGCTGAGTTTCAGTTTTATTATCGGGCAATTATTTGATTCTTTGTAGGTGTTTCATATCTTTCTAAATACAGTTTTTCTGAATATGTATCTCTCATTGTGATAAAACAAGAGTCATCCAATTTTGAATGACGTCATCCTACTTCGAATATGGGCATGTGGAAGTCCAAATTTAAAATTTGGAATTTGTTTTATGATCGATTTCATATTTTGTAAAACTTTAACGGATTTTCGGTTACCAAATTCGAGAATTTCAAAGCGAGCCATGGCAACGTTGTACCGAAACAACATTTCTATCTCCAGTGCGTGACTCTCTGTATCGGAAATTCTAAAGATATGCTCAATTTAAAATTATTTTGCGATATTGCTCTTGAACTTAATTTTATGTTTAAGTGCGAATAATGTGATATTTAATAAATAAAAGTAACACACAAAATGTTAAAAAAAACGCCCCTTTAGACGTAATTTAAAACCTAAAAACCTTTCAGGTGTTTTTTTAGTCCAAAGGGATTTGAATCCCGAAGGACTATTAGTTTCGTTTTGGCATTTTGCGTCGGACTCATAAATGTCGGTTCACTTTTCAAACTGTTGCCACAAAATGTTAGAGTCCTGCATTATATTTGAAGAAATTAAATAATGAAAAATCTGCATAAATGTATGTATATTTCTCGTATTGTGATAAAACAACGGTACATAGAGTCATCGAATTTTGAATAACGTAATCCTCCAACGAATATGAGCATGTGGAAGACCAAATTTGAAATTTGAAATTTGTTTTATGATCGATTTCCTATTTTTTAAAACTTTGACGAATTTTTGATTAACAAACTCAAGGATTTCAAAGCGAGCAATGGCAACGTTGTGCAGAAAAAACATTTTTATCTCCACTCCAGCGCGTGAGTCTGTATCGGAAATTCTAAAGATATGCTCGTTTTAAAACTATTTTGCGATATTGCTGTTGCAATGGATCTTATGGTTTAAGTGCGAGGAACATGATATTTAATAAAGAAAAGTAACACACAAAATGTTAAAAAACGCCCCTTTGGACGTAATTTAAAATCTGAAACATTTCAGAATTTGTTTTTTCAGTATTATTATTTTTTTTATATATTTTTTATTTATTTTTTTAACATCTTTTTTTTCTTCCAGTAACGTTATTTTCCGATTGCAGTATTTCAAATTTCATATCCAAGTAAATTACAACCATTCTGTTTTAAACGAAGTGTATTGCACATTTTTTTGTTCTTGTTTTAATTTATTAAATTTTTTTTTTTTTTTTTTTTTTATTTTACGATCTCAAAATGTCACAAAATCTCAAAAATTCCGAAAATTATTTTAAATTATCGATTGTAAAAAACTAACGATCAAAAAATATATACGCATATAACGTTTTAAAGCTAAGACATTTTCACTTGTATACAGTTTTTATTTCTGTATTAAGAAAAGAAATTATTAAGAAAATGAAAGTTTATGATTTTTTTTTTTTTTTTTTTTTTTTTTTTGTTAATTTAGTTTACTAAACCAAACGCTGGTTGCCCAAGCAGCTAGTTAAATAAATAACCCTTCCCAACAAAAACTGAAATATTTCAGATTTCATATTACCCCCAAAAGGGCTTTTTTTAATGTTTTGTGTGTTACCATTATTTATTAAATATCATGTTCTTCGCACTTAAACATTAAAATTGAATTCAACGGCAATATCACAAAATATTTAAAAAGAGCTTATCTTTAGAGTTTCCGATACACGGTCTCTCGTGATGGAGATAATTTTTTTACGTTTCCCGTACAGTGTTGCCATTACTCGCTTTGAAATCGTTGAGTTTGTTAATAAAAAATACGTTAAAGCTTTACAAAATATGAAATAGGTAATAAAACAAACTCCAAATTCGGGCTTCCAGATGCCCATATGCGAGTGGAAGACTGCGTTATTCAAAATGGGGTGTCTCTAGGTGCCCTCGTTTTTTCACAGTGCGAGAAACATACATACATACATACATACATTCGAGAAGATTTATTATTTAATTTCTTAGGCAAATATAATGCAGGGCTGTAATATTTGGTGGCAACCATTTCAAAAGTGATTCAGACATTTAACGTTTTCGACGCAAAATGCCAAAATGAAATTAATAGCCCATTCTGGGCTAATTGCCGCTTTGTGCTAAAATTGGTATTTACTGTTACCCAGCGAAACCATATACTAGTTGTTAAATAAAACAAAACTGAATTTAAACGAATAATTCCAGAACGCCTGAGCTTGTTTCTGCGTTTCAGTTTGGAACACAAAATTAGAATGAACGGGAAAGTGTGAAAGGAGAGTAAACTAAGTACTAAAATAAAAATGCGGCTAAGCTGCTAAATAAAATAAACTAAACTAAAATGCGGCTAATGCTAACACTGTGTTTAGATTCGTTTCAATGTGTAAACAGTGTAATGATCGTTTTTTACTTTTCGAGGTATGGCCGTTAAATTTAGTATTTCCTTAAAGTATCATTGCTAAATCTCTTTGTAAAAAAAATAAGTGGCGTAATAATTCTTTAATAGTTATGTGCGGTTATACAAACAAAAAAAATCGTTTTAAAAATTTGTAAAATAACATTCGTCAGAAAAACAGCACGAATGCGAAATCAATTCAGTGTTGTTTTTCTTACGCATATTTTTTATTATTGTTTCTGTTCATGTTATCCGATGTAAAAGCTGCTGTAAAAAATAAAATCGACAAACCATGCATCTTTCATTTATTTCTGTCGGGTCAAGCCATCGAGACATTCGCATCTTTTGTGGGCCGGGCAAAATGCTAATCTTGTTTGCTAAATCAGGAAGTCTTGCGCCGTAGGAAAATAAAGAAAGATAATTAAAACAAACACCATTTTCTTTGACCTTTATCAAACACGATTTTAAGATATTAAGAGATAAGCGATCAAGGTTAGATAAAAACAAATATATAGGCTAATTAAAAGCACTGAAAACTTTTGACAAACTGTGTTTTCCTTTTATCTGAAAGCCTGATAAGAGAAGAAACTGAACGGGAATTGGCAACAATTAAGAACTGAATAATGATTAAGAAATCGTATTTTATGGCGTATTAATCGAGGCTTTAGTCCAAAAATTTGTTTTAAAAAATCTAGCTTACGTATTCACCTGGTGTAAAATGTCATTAGTTCTGTATACACTAACTAATCAGATGAGTTATTATACTTTCATTACAAATGAGAATTTCAGTAAAATTCCAAATAATATAATTCTTGTAAAATTCCATTCCAAAAAATATTTTTCATTCCAAGTAAAAGATAATTTTTGCTTCGAAATATTACCGAAAAAAAAAAGTTGTTATTT